CATATCCCAAGTTTCTCCCTACTTTCTCTGCACTTTCCATATGAATCAACAGATTCATCTCCTTGTTTTTTCCCAAAACTGTATTGTGACAACAGGGAGATGATTCTGCATAAGGACACTAGCATTGTGCTTGGACAGGACTAAGGACTTTAGGAAATCCCCTAAATTCTTCGTTTCGTCCACAGAAAGATCCAAAAACTTTGTGATATTGGCTCAAAGACTATCCAAATGGGTCTCTGGTTGCATTAATCACTGTTATCAAGGATGCAACCTGCTTCCATCCAGAGTCCATGCGCACTCCATGAGGTAAATTTCTACCTCGGTCACATTACTTAAAGATATCCCTATCTCAGAACTCTGTAGAGCAACGACTTGGACTTCTGCCCATACTTTTGCAGAACATTTATGCGATCACTTAAGATTTGGCCCCCAACGCCATCTTTGACTCCACAGTACACTCTGTAGTGACAGACTCCATTCTGAAATCTCATATTCCAGTGGTGGGTACTGCTCGGGAGTCACGTATAGTGGAGCACCCATAGGGACACTACTCGAAGAAGAAGAGGAAGTTACTCACTTTGTGCAGTATTGATGGTTCTTTGAGATGTCTGTCCCTATGGGTGCTCCACAACCAGCCCTCCTCCCCTCTACTTTGGAGTTCTCTATAGGGCTCTGGGGTGGAGAGGGAAGTGAGGGGACTTCGCCCGTGCAGCGCTAGATAGCCTTGAGGCAGACCATGAGGGAGGGAGAGCATGTATGTGGGTTCAACGGACACTGCTACCAAAAATCTCCAATTAGAGGCTCAGGGGCACACATACACCTTCAGTGGAGCACCCTTAGGGACAGACATCTCAAAGAACCATTGTTACTGCACAAAGTGAGTAATTTCCTCATCGCGATTGGTTGATCCTGGAGACTCTCCCAGTCAATCACAATCTCTGGCCGCTAAAAGTCTGGTGGTGTAGCGGGGCTGCTGCTAAGGCAGGCTCTCTGCCTGCCCCGGCCCCACGCCGCTCCCAGAAGGGGCCAGCACACCCCCGCAGCCTCGGGGAAGGGGACGGTGGGCAGGGGTCTCTGTGCGCTGCCCCTGTCTGCCGGTACCACCCCTGCAGCTCCCATTGGCCAGGAATGTGGAACGGTGGCCAATGGGAGCTGCAGGGGCAGTGCCTGCAGACAGGAGCAGTGTGCGTACCCATGTGCCCCTCCCAGGAGCTGCAGGGGCACATTGGCCCCTTACGGGATCAGCATGGGGCCGGGACAGGGAGGGAGCCTGCCTTAGCCCTGCTGCGCCGCCAACCGGGAGCTGCCTGAGGTAAGTGAACCCCCCTGCCGGGAGCCCACACCCCAACCGTCCTCCCAGAGCCACGTATCCATACCCCCTCCTGTACCCCAAGCCTCTGCCCCAGCCCTGAGCCCCCTCTCAGAGCCAGCACCCCATACCCTCTCCTGCACCGCAACACTCTTCCCCAGCCTGGAGCCCCCTCCTGCACCGAAACTTCCTCCCAGAGCCTGCACCCGCACCCCCTCCTGCACCCCAACACTCTGCCCCAGTCTGGAGCCCCCTCTTGCACACAAACTCTCTCCCAGAGCTTGTACCCCTCACCCCCTCCTGCATCCCAATCCCCTGCTCCAGGCTCAGCCTGGAGCCCCCTTCCACACTGCAAAAGCCTTGGTCACAGCCCAGAGCCTGCTCCCCCTCCCGAACCCCAACCCCCTGCTCCAGCCCAGTGAAAATGAGTGAGAGTGGGGGAGAGTGAGTGACGGAGAGAGGGGGAGATGGAGTGAGCAGGGCGGGGCTTTGGGAAGGGCTGGGGCCTCGGGGAAGGGGCGGGATAGATCCTGGGTTGCCCTTAAATTCAAAAAGCGATCTTGTGCATAAAAAGGTTGGAGACCACTGATCTAGACTAAAGAGTAGCTGTGCCACCCTTGCCCTGCAATCTTGGATGCCTTACGATGCCTTGCTGAAGGAGTTCCCACCTGGGTTGCTCACAAATAGCCTTCCAGCATGCAAGCCATACCCTGAGTATTTGTGTGTAACTGCGGCCTGCCAGCCAGATTTGGGTTACACTCCAGCTCTCACTAGCCTTGGTCATACTGCAGCGTGACCCCAACATACCCCCAGTCTTAGTTTTCCCATGAGAAATGTATGTCCTTTACTACCCAGCCCTCTCCTGGACAATAGAAGTTATATAAAGTCTGTTATTTCTTTAATAGAAATAGTATGCATACAACTTGCCACCGCAAATGGAGTTTCCCATGCATTTCAATTTAAACACACTGGATTAGATAAAACAAAAAAACCGCCAAGTTTATTAACTGCAAGGAGAAAGATTTTAAGTGAGTACAAGTAATGAGGCATAAAGTCCGACATGGTTATAAGAAAAATAAAGATAAAACTCAACTGGTGCATATCTTAACTATGTTAAATTCAAAGCAGAGTTTTCTCACCACAAGCTTTCAGCAGTCTTACTGACAGACTTTTTAAGTCAGGACCCCTTCTCCCAGAGTCCAATGAATGCTTTCTTTGTCGCTTCAGGTTGCATTAGTGCGATGGGCGGGGAGAGGAGGTGTTGTGGGGTGTGTTCCCTTTTTTTTTTTTTTAATAGTTTCAGTTCCCCTCTTAAAAAACATTTCCAGCTGGGTACCAAGAGACAAAAAATTTGTGGGGAAGGATGTTTCTTGCTGCTTTTTCCTCACCAGTTTCAGCTTTCTTTATTTCCCTTCATGCTTGATGACTCTGTTTTCTGTTCAAGCACAGCACACATTCCTTTGTTTGAGATAGACCTGTTCACCAACTTCTGCTTGGGTAGGGCTGTGGTTTGGAACATGTGTTAATAACATCATACAGGGAAATCTTATAACTTAACATACAATGTTGCCACACATATTTCATCAGGACAGTATTTACTAGAAAATTATGAATTTTCAAATGATACCTTACAAGACATACTTTGTACAAAAAAATATTACAATTGTGTGGACACAGGTACATTCTGTCACACTGTCTCTTCATAATAACTGGGGTCCCCTCCCCTGGACAGGTATCCTCAGTGCAAGAGGATACCATGACATCATCTGAAAGGAGAGTCCTAACTATGGGATTATTTCCCTCTACTCCAGTTTGATGTTTTCCTTCTCCTAGTCTTTCAACCTCCTCAATAGCACAGAGGCTGTCATACTGGGAGAGGGACTGTTCTTCTGTATCCTGGAAAATCTCCTCTACATACATCTGTCTCTCTTAGCTCATCTGGTTCATTCACTCTGGTCTCAAGAGCCTGTACTTGGTCTCGGTGAGCTGCTTGCACTGAATGCACACACATGCCACCTGCCCACAAGGCAGGTAATCATACATGCTATATTCAGTGCAATAAACTGGATAGCCCTCACTTTGATGCTGGACTTCTGGCTGCATTCTCTTTACACTTGTAGGGTTTTGGGGGGCAGGGAGAGGGGAGCAGTGATTATTGGCCTAAGTTTAGACAATGTTTATTGGGTACATTTGGCTTCATGTTTCCTCTTTAAACTCCCTCATAAAACTCTCATTTGCTACTCCTGTTGGCTATCTCCTCTGGTCATTGTAACAGCCTTCAGCAGTATTGTCTATAGCAGTTGTTCTTCACTTTGGGGTCAAATCCAGTGAGTTACAACATTTTTTATATATAAATAATTCCTGCAGGATTGCCAAACCTGAGTATTCATTAAAGAAAAAAAGTTTCTAACACAATGTAATTTACTACTGTAATTAAGTTTAAGGGGACAGATTTTCCAGCACCTTGCCTCCATTTTAATGTTACTTTGTGTTTACCTGATTATGCCTTTAAATCAGATATTTAGTCATCTAAATTACCTTAATTGTGTCCACAAGTAACTGTGGGCATAATATTGCACTTGCAGTTTTTTGTTCTTGTAAAGCTGCAAGAACAAAAATGCAGTTCCAGTTCAGGCCAGCCTAAACATTTAGCCTATTGAATATTTAACATTAGAGAATCAATATTTTTAAAATTATGCAAAATCAGATTTGATTTCAAGATCATTATACTTACCAACTGGGACACATTTTGATTTGAATGTGAAAGTTCAAAGCTTTGTGTTCCGCCTGTTTTGAGAGTAGCAAACTGTCTAGTATGTGTCTCTTTCCTACTTATCAGAATTTCCAATCTTGTGTCAAATAAAATGGAATGGGATTTAATAAACTTAACATTGTATTTCACATTTACTAATTTCATGGAGGCTGTTGTTTTCTCAGTGGAGTGGATCTTTTTCTGCTGATTTCAGTTGGGGAAGTACTCTACTTTGAGCATTATTTTTAGTGTAATTTTCAAATTATTTATTTTAAAACTTTTTGCAAGTTAATAATTTGTTTGTTTGGTTTGTATCTGAAAATAAAGAACTTGCTGCTGATGCCACCACTGCTGTCCCACTTCCCTCTGAAACTCAATGTTCCCACCTCTTGTGCTTTCTGCTCCCCTGTCTCAACCTCCCCATCCCCCAAGAGGTTCACTTCCCAGTCAGAGCGCCCCACTCATTATTCTAACCCACACATATCATTGCAAATAACACATTACTGTACGTGGGATAAATAATGGAAAGAAGCTAATGATTTGCATTCATCTTATTGGTTTGTTTTTAGTACTCCACTGATGTAGGATTGGTCAGATAATTTATTCCAGAGGTTCTCCAACTGTGGTACATATGTCACTGTTGGTACGCTGGCTATAGCCAGGTAGTATGTGGATTGGTTAAGGAATAGGCTCACAGTAAGAATCCATTTTAGCTACACTGATTAAAATTATGATGTCGATACATCATGCTTTTGAATTTTAGATCTTAAAGTTTGTGGATCACTGACTAATTCACGAAAGTACATTATATTTTTTGCATAAGTCATTTGAACATTTTATTGTAATTACTTTCCTATCTGTACTTTGATATTTTTAATGTGAATTTTGCAATGTCTTAAATGACCTTTGTCTGTTTTTTTTGTTTGGTTTATTTCACAGGATGGCTTTTGGAATCTCAGCCCAGAACTTGGGGTTATTTTGGATCTTGATGTGGATTATTTAACCAATATTTTCCTTGCAAAAAAAGGCATTTGGTCCCTAGGTACATCAGTTGTTTTCTCATTCATTAAAAGTAGCTGGATGGTATTACAGTTAATGGTTTTGTTTGGTTTTTTTAAATGTAATAACCATGTGTGTGCAGTAGAGCTTATATTAATGTATATTTTCCATATTACTAACAATGTTTTAAGATTGGCTCACCCTAGATTTTAAATAGACACTATCAATTTGAAGTTTTCTGAAGTTACTAATTTTTAAAAATTCAAGTTTCTGCTAGAGCGTTCTTTCAGTGTCCTGGCTGCTGTGTGCCTGTCCTATGGAGGCAGCATATTTGGGGCAGCAGTGGAGGTTCTTTTTGTCCTGGTTATTATACGTGCTAGATTAAGCAACTCTGAAATGTTTAATTGTATTAGGAAAAAAAATCAGACTCAAATGTTCCCACTTTCATCCTCAGAAAGGTGGGGTCACTTCTACATAATGGAGAGGAAGGCAAAATGGTACCCAGCTGAGGTCATCCCTCCCCCAGCACCCTGCTGGACCCAAAACTATGCAAGGGAGTCCTCCCTATATTCTGGGGGCAGTAGGACCTAGGTAGTGCCCCTTCTCACTCTCCCCCTCATGTGGGCTTGGAAATAAACAGCAAAGAGGAGCCAGCCAGAGTCTCCAGCCACTAATGACAGGCATACAAAGCAGGGACCTCGGAGAACTTTCTGTGGTTTTGACTAGACTTTCTCTGCCCTGTGCTGAATGGCTTTTTGCTTCAAAACTCCCTTCCTCTCCCTCAGTCTCTTCACCTTAGCTTTACTCCAAACTTGTTGCCCCTTTTACCCTCTTTTCCCCTGCCCTGTCTCCCTCACCCTCTTCCCTTCACTTTCCATTTAGCTGACCTGCTACCTCTCCCCTCCATAAAAATGGAACTAGCATGGCATTTGGATGCCTATAGCCAATCCTCTGCTCAGCAGATTGGTTGAGGGTAGAAGTGAACAGGGACCAGCTGGATGCTTTCCACACAAAATGTCAACATTATATACTGTCAAGTATCAGGGGGTAGCCGTGTTAGTCTGTATCTACAAAAACAACAAGGAGTCTGGTGGCACCTTAAAGACTAACAGATTTATTTGGGCATAAGCTTTCGTGAGTAAAAACCTCACTTCTTCGGATGCATCATTATATGCAACATTATATACTGGGCATAAAGTGGAATGACTTCATCTGTAATGCAGATGTTTGTGGTTGTTCGGGTCTACAGACTACTGGTGCCATTGCCCGCACGCGGCACCTTATACTTTTCAGACATGTCACAAGGATGCCACAAGACATTCCAGCGAACGCCATTCTCCGGGTGGCTTGTAACATCCGGGATAAAATTGCACCAACCGAGGTGTAGAGGCGGCCCAGAGGCAGACCTCCTATTACATGGGTTCATCAAGTCTGTTCCAATGTTGGACTCTCAGGCTGTCAATCCTTTGCAGTTGTGCAGGAACGGACCAAATGGCGAATGATCGCTACTGCCAACTGTCTGGCTAAGTGTTGAAGAAGAAGGACATTTGCTGCCATCATATTGTTCACTCTGCTTCTATGTATACCCTTCCCTCCACAACACGTGTTTGTGTTGTCTGTTTAGATTGTAAGCTCTTTGGGGCAGGGATTGTCTTTTTGTTCACACATACATTCCAAACTACACTGATGTACTGCTTCTTCCCACCCCTTCCCATTATGTTGTTTACATCTTTCATGTATACATTTCCTTCTTCCTTGTCAGCTATTGCTCTGTGCTGTTGGCAGGCAGAAAATTAACATGAACAAAGTTTGTCCTCTCTGAATCACTTGGGGACAGTGCTTAAAGTGTGCATGGGGAGTGCAAACTGGGCAAAAATAAAAATTGGGTTGAGATGTGCACTTTAATCACTGTCTTACCAAAGCTGTTGCTCCAGTGCTTCATCAGAGATCAGAAATTGTACAAGTTTCCCTTTGCTGCTTGCACAAAAACCTAAGTGGAACATGATGGAAGCAACCCCAAACCACAAAAACCCAGCAGCACACTGCCAGCCCTTGAGTTCTGACTCCAGTGAAGCGAACTATATGTCTCTGAAACTGTTTTTAAAAAAGCATGGATTATTGTGTATATTGGGTGATGAAACAAAATTAAACAGCATTAGGATAACTAGGTTTTGTGAGCATGACTATTACTTTGACAGTAAGTACTACAAAATATCAAATATTAACTTTGTTGACAAGTATTAATATTAATGTTGACAAGTAACAATTATACTAGGAATCACACCCTTTTTCCTCCTTTTTAGGTCCTAAAGGAAGAGAAGTATTGCAGTTGATTGCTACACTTTTGGTACTGCAGTTCATACGTTATAATCAGCAACTGGAAGGGATAACCTTCAAATCTCTAATGAAACTGGATGATTCGCCTACTTCAAGGTGTGCTTTAGATTCATGCATACATTAAATATTTAATGTATGAATGTAAACTGCTGAACATTTTAACATGCGTGAAATGAATAGTTATTGGGTATTGGTAACTAATATACTACAGCATATGACTGTTAATGAAAAGTATAATTGACAGTGTCGATGCATTGCTTCTTACAACAAAATCTTTGTTTTCAAAATGTGGTCTATAAAATTAAGAAATACATAAACAATGTCCTGCATCAGCAAAAAACTTTTATTTATATAGTAAATGGGAACAGTATTAATTTTAGGGCTTGATGAGGCTCTTAGATGTATGGCACAGATCATCTGGACCAGACCGTCCATCCCTGATATCAACATCATCCACACCACAATCCCCACTCTGTCCATTAACCCTCCAAGTGGCCTGGGCAATGCAGATGGTCCCCAGATGAGAATCCTCTGCAATATAATATAGCTGCATGCTGTATTACGTTTTGTATGGGCGATCTCTGGATCATGGAACTTCCCTTTACTGGGGAGGTACAATGAACATCAGACAGCTGGGGAGCCTGTCAGCACCACTCCACCAAAAGGGAAGGGGGAGCGCAGCAGAGATCTAGGAGCGCATGAAGGAACAGGAACACCATACAGATGGCTCCGGCCTCTAGCAGATTCCCCATGGTATGTGAATTCTGGGAATTTAACCCCTGCATGTAGTGTGGGGGATTATACCCCACCTTCCTGCTCCTTCCACCCACCCCCAAAAATTATAGGAACTTGCAGCAAGGAAAACCTTGTGAAATCTTCCTCTGTAGTCTCCCTGCCTCAGGTGTTACTGTGGGAGATGTTATCTGGCTCTATATACCTAGGGTTTCTGTGACAAGTTACAAATAACACATGATAGATGTGTCATGTTGCTTAATGCGCTACTGGAGGGCACACACCTACTACATGATGAGTATGGTATAAAAACCTAAACAAACTAGAGAGATGCTTAAATTAGCATTTTGTCCTGTAACCTCAATCAGGAATGTAATACATAATAATAAAATGTGATGTTGGGTTAAAACATAGTAGGGAGAAAAGGAAAATGGGAGGAACTCTGCATATATGTGAACACATTGAGGACTCCAAAATTGAGAGTCAAAGCTGATATTACTGCCTTGATGAGATGCTTTTTATGGACTAATTCACGCCACCTATGTCACTGAAGTAGCTAGTGCACATTAACTACTCTGCACTGTTACACTTTGGAAGTGTATTAAGCTAAAGTTCATAAAGGCACTCAGTGCGAATTAAGAGTGTCCACGCAGGGAGTTTGTGCGAAGTAGACAGTGCACTTTAAAATCACTCCCTCACTTATTCCACACTAACTTCTCCATGAAGACAAGCCCAAACATTTGTGGTGAATTTGACCCTACATCTTTCTCCATGACAATGCTTTCTGAAAAGACCAAGAAAGCTGCTCAGGCTAGACTTTGTTTTTTCTTGAAATCTCTGCCTCAAATTATTATATATATATAAAGAGATCTTTTGTTAATGATTGGGTTGAAGCATTGTTGATATTTTCTCCACCAAGTGACTTCGGTGGCAAGGGCAAGATTTTCTTTTTGTATCCTTTGGTGCATTTGATTGTGCTTAGTTTGTAGACAGCTGCAGTAACTGCTCAGTTAAGTCACTGTTCTCATATTTCAGTATAATCACACTTTATTTCTATATGCAGTGCTATTCACTGGGCTTTTGCTTCAGTAAAGAAAGCAGTGGAATGGGTAAGAAGAACTGACAGACAATTTCCAGCCATCTGCTATCGACTTGAACTTGGGAAGGATTGGGACTCTGCCACTAAGAAGTTGTTGGGTATCGAGTTAATCAGCACCAACTTTCCTCCAAGTATTTAATCACAGAAGACTTCTATAAGAGTTAACTACTTTACTCATTTTGCAATTATAAGACAAATTACAGGAGTTCACTGCATTAATAGAGGATAATTTGATTTTATATCTGTATAATTATTAGGTAGTTTTAATATCCAGGAAATTAACCAAAAATATGGAAATTTGGGTTTTTTTCTTATATTATCAATAAGGACAGTAACTTTAAATTTAAATATAGTGTTTTACTAAGAGTAAACATATACTGCAATTCACTGTCTAAAACTCAATATCTAGCTTCTATGTTAGATAATTTTTAATTTAAGTTAACCATTTTGCAGTGCTAATGCTTTTATAATGTGTTTAATATAAATTTGATTTCTTCTATAAACCTTATCCACTTCTTTGGACCAGTAGCACTATATAAAAAAACTGTAATGTAATAAAGGAATTACATCAGCAAGGAAATACTTCAATACACTGATGTCAAGAGGTATAAGAAGCTGAATAATAAAAAGCAAATAAACATTTCAAGGTTTTCACTTAGGTAGTTAGATAATTCATTCAGTTGAGTTTCTCATCAAAATGCAGCCAAAAGAAGCTGCGTATCTGTGATAATGATTAGGGGCATATGCCTCTCTCATGTCAGCAATCTGTGAATCATTAGATGCCCAACTGCTTCTGGATGTCCAGGTAGCAGCCTTTTCTTTCCAACACAGACATTGCTACTTTTACCTATAAAAAGAACAGGAGTACTTGTGGCACCTTAGAGACTAACAAATTTATTTGAGCATAAATTTGTTAGTCTGTAGCCTCAAAAAGAACATGAGTACTTGTGGCACCTTAGAGACTAACACAGCTGCTAATCTGAAACCTGTTACTTTTACCTGTGTCTTTGGCACCTTGTGGTTGGACTACTGCAATGTGTTTTAAATGAAGCTGCATTTTAAGACAATGTGGAAAATACTGCAAACGCAGAAAATGGTTATCTGCATTCACAGAGACAATATAATGCTAAAAATCTCACTTTGGTTTGAAAACTTTTTATCTACTGTACAGTTGTTACAATAAACACTTAATGATGATTAATCACTGAAAGTCATTTAAAAAAGTATATTTTTCTGGCTTTCTTTTCAGTTTGTTTAACAGCATTTTGCACATAGTCAAATTCCCTAGTTTGTGTGGGTCTTTTACACAAGGGGAGAGAGAGAGACACTCTTTTGAAAAATAGGAAATGTGATTGTAAAATCACAAAAATTGGCAGGGAAACTTGGGGCAGATTTAGGCCTTGTCTACACTACAGAGTTTTGTCGACAAAAGTTATGCCAACATATAGCAACTGCTTTAATTAAACTGCTGTAATTTAATTTAATTTAATTAAACCGTGGGGGGGGGGAGGATAGCTCAGTGGCTTGAGCATTGGCCTGCTAAATCGAGGGTTGTGAGTTCAATCCTTGAGGGGGCCATGTAGGGATCTGGGGCAAAAATCAGTACTTGGTCCTGCTAGTGAACACAGGGGGCTGGACTCAATGACCTTCCAGCTCTATGAGATAGGTATATCTCCATATATGAATATGTCTACACTATGCTCTTGGTGTCAGCAGAGTGCATTCACATAACCACCTGTACCCTTCCCATGGCCAGAGCCCTGAGACCCCTCCCCTCCCCCCCCCCAATGGCCAGAGCCACAAGGCCCCTCTTCCCCCGCCTCCCCTGGCCACAGGAGCCCCAGGCTGGCTGAAGCCCTGAGTCCCCCCCCATCCACATGCCTGGAGGAGCCCTGGGCAAGCCAGAGCCTGGAGGAGCCCAGGGCTGGCTGAAGCAGTGCCATGCTTCCCCTCCCCGGACCCAGCCCACCCAGGGAAAAAGCGTCTGTTAGAAGACACTTTTGATATGCCCCATGCAGGTTCCTGGGCGTCTGAGGAGACGGTATGTGCCTCCTCAGCCACCCTGGAACCTGCCTGGGACATCATAAAGCAAAAACTTCACTGCCAAACCCTGCAATTGGGGGTTCAGCGGCCACAGCAGCACAGGGGGAGGCAGAATTTCCCCTGACCTATTATACCCGCCGCCTATGCTGGGCTCCTAGTCCTGAGTTGCTGAGAAAAAAGATAGTCTTCCTGGCTCCTGCCAGCCCTTCCGGCCCCAGCCTCCTATATCACCACTCCTGCCTTTGTTGCTCAAATGCATGCAAGTCGATCAGGTCTGGCCCCACCTCTCTGACATGGAGAAGAATCAATGCTGGGAATCAGGCCTCTACCTGTACTATGAGGAACCAGGACACTTTGCATCAAGCTGCCCTGTGAAGGTCTAGGCTGCACCCTGATCAGAAAACACCAACCCTGAGCCCTGATACGGGGAGTCCAGGCTGGGTTGGTGCCGTTCCTCTTTCCCCAGCAGGCTACTCAAACACTTTGCCCACCAGTTCCCTGGTGATGGCCAATCAGCGCCCAACACCTCTCCAACTCAAGCACCCTGCAATGCCCAATACCAACCTGAGGTGCTGGTGGAATTGGGAGCCTTGTGCAGTTTCATGGATCTGGATTTTGCCCAAGCACACCATATTCCCACCCAGTGCAAGGACTCCCCCGAGTTAGGGAAGTCTATAGTCACTCCTTTCGCTGGAACTGTCACCCACCAGTTTGCTGACAGTCCTGTTTCCCGAAAGCCGAGCTGGGACCAGCTACCATTTGTGGCTTTCTCAGTCCTCCAAAGAATTCAGTAACATTAACAGAGGATCCAAGGGCGACCCTGGCAACCCCTACAACTACCTAGTGGCTGCACAGATTCCTGTTGAATATCAACATATGCCAACATGTTCAAAAGAAAAGCCAACACTCTATAGCCCCATTGCAGCTATGACTGCCCCAGCGACCTCCAGCCAGGAGCTGAGCTTCCCTTTAAGCATATTTTCTCCCTCTCTGAACCTGAACTACAGGCACTCCAGAGCTACCTCAAGTAAAACCTGTAGAAGGGGTTCATTCACCCCTCCACATCCCACATCCCCTGGGGAGGCCCTGATCTTCTTTGTGGTAAAGAAAGATGTCTTCCTCCAGCCTCATGTGGTCTACTGAGCTCTGAACAAGGTTACAATCCAAACCAGTACCCTTTCACTGCTTATTAATTACTGCTTGAAACACTCTGCTCTGTCCAGGTCTTCACAAAGTTGGACCTCCACAGAGCTTATAACTCTGTGAGGATCTGGGAAGGAGATGAATGGAAGACCTCCTTCCATACTAGGTATGGCCTTGTAGTGAGGCGAGTGGCCTCCGTCTGGACTTGAGAGCGAGGGATCACTACACTCCCCCTAGTGGGTGGAGCCAAACCTGCCCCGACCTCCTCGCCGGAAGTACAGGAGTGGCGCTGGAAATACTAAGGAGGGCCCTGGGAAGGAGACAGACCTCTCCAGATCACTGCCAAGCACTGGAGCTGAGCCTGCACTGTGCCCTGCCCCCGGAGGAGTCCAACCCTGGAGAGGAGTTGCTGGGACCGCCATCTGCAGTGTACCCCAAGATCTGTGTATTACTTATGCTTTGCCTTAGCCAGGAGGTTTAGGCAAAAGCCTGCTCCCTGCTCTACCCTGCCCAGAAGGCCAGAGCTTCCCCTATAGACGGTTCAGTGCTGTTTTGCCTTAGCCTGGAGGCTTAGGCTAAAGACTACTCCCTGCTCTGTCCTGCCCAGAGGGCCAGACCTTCCCTGATAGACTGTTAATTGCTGTCTGCCCTAGTTGGGAGACTCTGGGCAAAAGACTGCTTACTATTCTGCCCTGCCTAAGGAAGCTAGAGCTCCAGACTATTAATGGTGGTTTGGCTCTTCTAGGAGGGTACGAACTACAGACTGCTTACTGCTCAGTCCCACCAGTGGGGCCCGAGTGCTGCTGCCTGATGCAGTGAAGTGGAGTGGCCTCCCTCAGCACTTGAGAGTGAGGGACCACTACAAGCCTCTTCAAGTTTTGGTCAGAGAGACACACCTTGTCCCCTATGGCCAGGCAGCTGTGTAGATGGCACTTTTAACTTAATGCTTCACTTTCCTCCACCTTTAACTGTTTGCGTCTGTCTCGCACCACAAGATACATCCTGTCGATCCCCCCAACCCTGGCAAACCCTTATGACTTCTTCCTCTGCTCCTACTCTCACATTGTAGTGCATCTCTGGCATAAATCCCACCACCAGGCTGATGTCCTCCACTACAAATTCATTCTTGCCCCCTTCTGTTCTGCTGCCTTCCTATCTAAATAATTCTATTTTTCCACCTTAATTGAATCCCACACCTGCAATCCCACCTGCCTTTTTCCCACCTTTGCGTCACTCCTTAAGCCCTCTCTCCTTCTGCCTGCACAGGATCTTGCGAATTGCTTCCAACAGGAAAATTTACAAAATACAATGTGACCTTCCCTTGCCTTCCTTTCCCTTCCTACAACTCTCGCCTCCTTCAATCCAGTCACAAACATAGAATTATTTACCTGGGTAATGGTAATGTCAAAAATTTGTTAAAATCGCCATCTTGAATGATGTCTAGTAGTTGTTTGGCAGCCATGTTGGCTACCCTTCTCTTTGGAATTTTGGTGCCCTTTTTTTGAGTTTGGTGCTCTGTGACATTACTGACATAACCTGTGACTGCATAGATCATTGTTGCAACCACTGTTATATATTTGCAGCAAATATTGTACAAAGGTTGTCGTGTGAGGTCTCTATGGAAAGGTTGTGATTTGCTGATTATGATTATGCTATCTGTATGCATGTATCATTTTTGTATTTAAAGTTATAAATATTGGCTCTATACTGTATGTATTTCAAACTTGTGCTACGCTTCTGGGTAACACCCCAGGAAATTTGGTGTCAGCATGTCTAGCCTGCTTGATGGCCCATTAAGGACCATCAGCTATACAACTGACCCATTGAGAGAAGGCAGATACACCTTGTGACTCAGCAAGGTATGCAGGAACATGCCTATGGACAGAACTGTAAGGTTTTTCTATGCCATGTGCTGGATAGCTTGTCTTTGGAACAAAGAAAGCAGAGACCACATGGCAAGGGACTATAAAAGACTGCTGCATCTCCTCCATCTTGTCTTCAATCCTACTTCTGACCTCTGGAGGGACTTTGCTACAAACTGAAGCTCTGAACAAAGGACTGAATGACCCATCCCAACTGTGGATGTACTCCAGAGACTTGATTTGACCTGCAGTTTAATCCATCACTGCTACAAGCCTGAACCAAGAACTTTGCCATTACTGTATGTAATTGATTCCATTGAACCAATTCTAGCTCTCATCTATATCTTTTTCCTTTTATGAATAAACCTTTAGATTTTAGATTCTAAAGGATTGGCAACAGCATGATTTGTGGGTAAGATCTGATTTGTATATTGACCTGGGTCTGGGACTTAGTCCTTTAGGATCGGGAGAACCTTTTTCTTTCACTGGGGCATTGGTTTTCATAACCATTCATCCCCATAACGAGTGGCACTGGTGGTGATACAGGGAAACTGGCGTGTCTAAGGAAATTGCTTGTGTGATTTATGGTTAGCCAGTGGGGTAAAACCGAAGTCGTCTCTGTTTGGCTGGTTTGGTTTGCCTTGGTGTGCAAAGGAACCCCGGCCTTGGGCTGTAACTGCCCTGCTTTAAGCAATTTGTCCTGAATTGGTACTCTCAGAAATGTCCCACCAAAGGCAGCATCCTTACGTGCTCTATTGTGGAAAAGGCAGGAAAAGAACTGGCCAGGTGGTCACTAATCTGCCTAGAGACTAGAGGATATAAAAGCCCCACTCACAGGCTCTAGGGTGCTGTCTTCCCTAGCAGCAGCCCGCGTTATCGGATCAAGAACCGCCAGAAGATCTCTGAGAGATACCACCACAGCTACTTACCTAAGAGGTGATCCTGATCCTAATCCTGGTCCAGCAGTCATCAAAGATCCGAGTTCCTCCTGCACTCCCTGTCATTCCCAAGCACAGTGGTAGGTCCGGATCCAACATCTCGAGGCCAAGACAGACAATCAGACAAACTTTGATCTGTAAAGTATAAATACCTTTGTCTGTCATTTGTAGAGGGAGGGGGTTCTGGGCTTCATAGCCATGCAAGCCACTGAGATATTTTGTCC